CAAGTTTCCTAATCTACAGGGGAAAGAAGATATGGCCACTTTTTCCAGGTTTTTAAGTTAATGTGACATTGGCTTTGGTTTTAATAGCAAGATATTAGGAGGACAAGTTTATTTCTCTCTCTTCCTTGTATTACCGCGCAGAAAAAATCCCATCAATGTAAACTTTCTGGCCTCTTGCCAGAAGTATGTTATCTGATTTGTGTATTTAAAAGAGGGACACAAGCCTGTTTGCTTGGTTCAGCTCTCTCTCTTTCTGAATCAGCCTATCTGCAGAAAGGACATGTTCTTACTCTGCTGCCAGTATTAATGGAGCTGCATTTCAAGGGCAGTGCTAGTGCAAGTTTTGGGTTGATAGAGCTCTGCTTTTGACTGCATGGGTACATTTAATGCTGGAATTTGATATAAGAAAACTCACTTGGCTCACATCTACACCCTGCCCCTCAATATAGCCTTTTCTCCATAACAAAGCTACATTATGATGATTATCTGTCCTTCTCGTATTTCTTTCTCACATAGTTCTGAACTTGGGCAGGAATGAAGTCATCACCATACTGGGGTCACACTGAGCACTTACTAGGAGTCCAGAACTCCAGATTCAAGAGTCAGGAATCTCTTCTGACTACCAAAAGGGGAAGAAAGTAAAAAGGCCTGAACAACTGTAAAGTATAACACCCTCTTCTAAAGTAACCTGGAAGACTCACCCTACTGTGCCTACCCACAAAAGTTACAGAATCTGTCAACAGAAAATGGGTTACAAAATCTGGAATCTGTAATTATAAAATCAGTAAAGAGTTTGAAACCATCTACCCAAAACTGGAATTTAAGGTTTACTAATCAGGCTCCCAGACTATCACTTCTGAAAGAGAAGTTTCTTCATTTATATGTTGTAATGTTGGCCATCTTTTGAAATCATATGGAGATATTAATGAAAATAATGTTTTATCTCAATAATTTGTTTCAAACCATTAAAACTGCAGAATATAGCTCTGATATTCATATACTTTAATGGCTAACTTTTCCTCTACCATTGCTGTGGTCAATCAGCTTCCGTTTGCAGGGAGAGAGTTCAAATAGGTTAAAAGTACTGCAACAGCATAATGACAGAATCCAAGACAAACAAAGATTAAAAACACATCTCAA